ACCCAAGGCTGCTCAGAGAACTTGCACTCTATGTAGCCGGCCCATTGACTACTGTATTCAGACTGTCTCTCAATGAAGGCACACTCCCCTATGACTGGAAGGATGCCATAGTAACATCTATCCACAAGGCAGGTTCTAGGTAGCTTCCATCAGATTGCAGACCGATAAGTTTGACTAGTACTGTAGTTAAAATCCTAGAAAGAGTAATCAAGAGAGCCATCATTGTCCACCTAGAGACCAATACTCTATTGTCTCGTTCACAGCACGATTTTCGTAGAAATTTCTCTTGCTTAACGAACCTCCTTACAGTCAGAGAAAGTTGGGTTAAGTCTTAAGATGATAGGATACCTATAGATGTCGTTTTCATTGACTTTAGTAAGGCGTTCGACAAGGTATCTCATTTCAGGTTGCTCAAGAAACTGGGAAATTTTTGAATCACTGGCAGTCTGCTCTCATGGATAAGAGACTTTCTTGTTGGTAGGAGACAAAGAGTAAGCATCAATTCTCAACTCTCCACTTGGAAGTCGGCAGAGAGTGGGGTGCCACAAGGCACAGTCCTGGGCCCCCTACTGTTTCTCCTATACGTAAATGAACTGCCAAATATCACGAAATCTCCTATGGTTCTCTATGCCGATGACGTAAAAATCTAGCGGGAAATTAGCAACGATGAGGATATACGTGCGCTTCAGGCAGACCTGAACAGCTTGTTTACCTGATCAGAGAAGTGGCTGATGCCTATCAATGCAGATAAATGTATGAGCATGCACTTGGGGCACACACAGCAACACCTACGATATTGATGAGACTCCTCTACCGTCAGTACTGACGCACAATACCTTGGAGTCACAGTGAATTATGACTTGAAGACCACGGCTCACTGTCGATTGGTAGCAGCTCGGAGTTTTAGGACTCTCTGGGCATTACGCAGAACCTTTACGAAAATAAGTGATGACATGTTCACCATCTTATGCACATCCTTAGTTAGGTCTAAATTAGAAAACTGTACACCGGCGGCTCGTCCTTGTCTGAAAGCTGACGCAGACCTTCTAGAAAGAGTTCATAGGGTAGCCACTCGTATGATCCTTGCGATGGCTGGCCGCACCTATGAAGACCTGCTTAAGGAGCTGTCCAATTGCAGACAGAGGGGAGACCTAATCATGCTATTCAGGATTCTAAGAAATCATTCCAAACCTGATCTACCTTCCGTTTTCCTTCGCACTAGGTCTGAACACCTCAGAGAACATAGTAGAAGACTACAAAAGCAAAGAGCGTACGTAGTCTCCCCAGATTACTGGTTCTTGCATCGAGTAATCAAGGCTTGGAACCGACTCCCAGAAGAAGTGGTGTCTGCATTATCAATTGACTCGTTTTGATGGGGAATTGGACAAGTACAGAAATCTGCCGGGAAAAGGATTAATATACACTCCCAGCCTCCTATCCTCAAACAACAAATCTGAATCCAGTAAATGCTGGTCTATAATGCTATAAGTCGTTTATCCGTCAATATATGGTAAGGAGTTAAAAAAAAGTCTATTGAGAACTTTCATGCACACATAGTCATGTAGACTCCATAATGTTCACTACGGAAATAGGGAATGAATTAAGGGAACTACCGTTGTTAGACCGTACGATACGAAGGTCGATAGATGGTTGTTTAAAGACCTCAATCTATATAAAACCTACTCACCCAGGAGGACTTCTAGATTACCATTCAGCGGATCATCTCAATGTAAAAATACGGTTAATACAGAGTCCAGTAAATAAGACATGCAGGTTGACGACATGCTTTATAATCAAGGAAAAGAAATAAACAATTCGTTCAAAACGTTATTCAGAAATGACTGTCCCAAGGCGTAAAAGATTAGAGAAAGATAACATCGGCAAATACCGGAGAATAGAAATAGATCAATGGGAAAAATGAGTATAAAACACCGTAGTACTGCCATAGGGAGAAGGCATATCTAAGGCAACGCAAAACAACTTTACAAAAGCAGGTGCTCGGACCACTTCTAAACCAACGAAGCCCGCTAAAAGTAAACCAAGGCAAGTTAAAGATCCGATGAAGAAATTGGTCAAAAGCAGTCATATATAGGATGTCGCGTGTTGAGTGCCCGATTAATTATGTGCGTCAGACGTCGACATTATTTAGAATCAGACTAGATAAATATAAACGACTAAATAAAGGTCAGCTCACAGTCACAATTTTTGAAAATTTTGGAAGAAGGCTCATGCAAAGCAGCGCATGTGTGGGATGGAAAGCACAAAGTTGATTGGAACTGTTTGCACTTTAAAGTCTAATATAAACAAATGGAAAGGAAGATTGATGACTGAATCCATATCCGTACCCTTTCACACCTAGTACATGCAACGAAGGTGACTCAGCCGAATTCTGTTAACTTGTTGGTTTTTGTTTGTAGATCTTCGAGTTTGTGCCACAAGACATTAGACATAAATCATCATTGGCGAAATCCAAGTATTCTTCTAGGGTGTTTTCATTGTTCCAGCCAGCAAATGCCCATCTTCTCCCTCCTCACGGTTTGCTGCATGATCCAGTTCACCAAAATCAGGAATATCATGGGTGACAGTAGGTAGTAGCCTTGTCTTACTCCTGTCTTCATTTCAAAGGCGTCACTGAGCTTTCCACTGTGAATCATTTGGCATGTAGCCTCCTCATATATCATAGCATATAGCTGTTGAATGAGGTTGATAAAGGTTTATGGCGCTAAAAGCGTAGTGTTGAAGCAGCATATAAATATATATATATATATATATATATATATATATATATATATATATATATATATATAATCTTCAGTTTACATGTATAAAGGAAGTATCATACAGAATAGTTTCTTCGAGTTCAAAGTGATGGAAAAAATATTGTTGATAGTTTGCTCCACCTGAAAATCGATAGCCGCCCACTGTTTATACAATAGTTTAACCTATTTGGGAAAATACTAACTTTCTGCTTAGAGTCTGTGTGACGGCTGAAATCCATGATTGTATGCTGTTTGTCATATGATTGTTAACGATTCGCGTCTGTGCAAATGCTTTACAACTTATTGTCACCCTTACTCTGTTACTTCACATTTCGTCATTTACTCTACCCTCTTTTCTCAGCTTCTTATGGCTTTATATCAATTTGATTACATTGTTTTTATTTCACTATCGTAGTTAGAATATGAAGTTTGTCTGAACAATGTGATGTATTTGCGCAATACATCCTGAACAGTCTGATCACACATTTACTTGTCAAGTCAATTTATATTAAACCGATGGGTTGAAGGACAAATACGGCAATTAATATAATAGCGGATTAAAATTAAGGAAGATGAGAAAATAAAGGAAGTGACATAGTTGATCCTAATCTTAGTAAGAAAACAAAGTTTACCAAGGTAGGTCTAGTATGAGAAGGTGGTTTCAATTTGTGTATGGCTATCGCTTCCACAAATCTCAGTATACGTCTCTGAGTGTTTCTATATCAAACTTTTAAAGCTATTTTAACATTAATTCTTTGACCTATTTCTATATGTTTAGCTATAGGTAAGGAGGGTCGTCTCCCACCAGGGTTTGTCACAGTCTTACACTCCATTTGTTTTTGAAGCCATTTAGGTACATGTTCTCCTACCCTCAACTGCATGACTCAATTACCTCTCCCTATATATGTGTGACCACACACATGTAAATTGGTAAACATAATGGTATGTGACGTAATCATTGGTGCAGTGTTTAGGTTTGTGGTGAAGCTTGTGTCTTGTTTTTCCCATAATGATAAGATTAGCTGCAAAATATGTTTTCTTAACGCCTGATATTGACCTGCGTCTCAAAATTATATTATTCAACTTCCCTCTGTATGGTAGAATGGTATGGACACTTCTTAGAAACCGTTTATAGAGTTGACTTCGGTGCTACCTAACCTCTGCAACGGTTTATAAACTTCAACGGATATCCGTTATCTATGGGTGCTTTGGTCAGTAATTCGATATCATTCATCGTATCTGATGTACAGATACGACAGATTCTACTAAACAGGCATTTTACTACACCCTGTTTTTATTGAATTGCACAGAAACTGAAAATTCAGGTAGTCCTGTCCATGTAGGCTTTCTGTAAACTGACCATCTTATTGAATCATCTCATCGACTCAGGAGTACGTCTAAGAATGACAAGAGATTTGTTGATGAAATCAAAGGGATTTTTGAGAGGCATGAAGACATGGCTTGTCCATTAAAAAAACTTAACACCGTGCAAACTCACACCAACCTGGCTTGTGAGAAGGAGAATAATAATCGTCTGCCATTCTCAGACGTACTCCTGAGTCGACGAGAAGATGGTTCAGTTGTGCACCGTGTTGTATATAAGCGTTGGTACATTCATTGTTTCCCCAGGTTTGTTTCTTCAGTAAGTAAACTGAAATAATACATGTAGTTTTGTTTTCAGTTGATTTATTACATTGCTTGCTACTCCAACGTTCATTTTCAACCATGGTCAGATGGATATTTGTTACTGCTTGTCAATTTCATTGACGGAGTATGAATGTTTTCCAGTGATTACGAAACTGTGGCTTATTGGTTTAGGTTACAGGTTCGAAACCCGCTCCACTTATCGAGGTTTGAGCAGCTATGCAGTATCATTAACTTTCTCATCATAGTTGTCTGTTGCAAGAATGTTCACAGTTTCACTGAGTGGATATCGGTTTTATCGGTACTAGACTTGGGAGGGGTTATGTTGTTGTTTAGATGACTAAATTTTTGAAAACGTGAATGGTCATGTATTCATAAACTAACTAACTTTCAGGAGTTGAGATTATCACCTTTATTATAATGACTTCATTGACTGTTGAATGAATTGTTCATATTTTCATTGACTTTCGTGTTATGCTTTGAACTTTTTTTCAGCAAAATAGCTGGTGGTATCTACATATTTTCGCTTTCAAAGTGATATTATGGTGTTGCGAGGAAGTTTTCAAAAGTCTTTCTTCTTATAGCCTCGACTTATGAATGATTCATTCTTTAAAAAGTAAAGTCGATGAAATTGAACTCTTGCTGTCCATGTTTTCAGAAGATGAAATTAAACTAGGAGATAAAGTATCTTATCAAAATATCAAACGTCACGCAGAATTGGATGTTCTTCCTGACAAAACAGATATCGATTTTGTACTTAGTGTAAGTTCTAGCTCTCATGGCTCTTAACATATTATTTATGTGATCAAGAACTTGTTCAATGCAGGTGGTAGGGTTCGGTTGCAAAGTAATTTTAGTGTAATCATTATCATCAAGATCAACATTGAACTAGGCATTACTGCGTAACGGTCCAAGTTGCCACACCTCATATCAGCGCATCGAGTAACAAGACAACAAAATAAAAATGAAGAAGGGAGACAAGTCGGTCAAAGGGAATAGAAGTAGAAAGTAGTAAAAAACAGGTAGTAAGGATAAGAAGATGATGAGATTAAGTATAACGCTTAAGATGAGGATAATCTGTGTTATGCATCTACGCCACTTACATCGGTCCTGAGCCATATCACCTAGAATCTTCAACTATTGGTTTCTGTTGTCCGGCGGACCTCAACTGGCTAGTCTGCATCGTCCCACGTAGCGTAAACGAAAAGCCATGCATTGATACCATGTTCTAGTCTTGCCGCCCGGGCCGTTTTCCAGCTCGAACCTGCCTTGGCCAACATCGTGTGACGAAGCAGACGGTGGCTAGGCATACGTAACACAGGTCCCAGCTATCCATCTTACTCGATGAAGGTTCACAACCGCATCAACTGTCTAACCTCTCCTGCCTAAAACTCTACGTCTTGCTTCTGTGTTACTCACGTGGTGACACCACGAAACAAAGCCTGTGCTACGAAGGTAGCGGTGGTCAAACACCTGAAGTATTCTCATGTCTTCTACCTTTAATGCCCATGTTTCACAGCCATACAGTAAAACAGCGAACTGCAGCACAGTATACTCTACTCTTAATAGACAATCGGATATCGCGGCGGTGCCACAGATGGCGTAAGTTGGCGAAAGCCAACCAAGCCTTTTGTATCCGTGCAAGGAATTCGTCGGTCATTGAGCCACCAGAGTTGATCCGACTTCCCAAGTCCGTAAAGTGTTCAACACATTCAACCACTTCACTGTCTATTGTGATTCAGAGCATCTTTGAAGACCAGTCCTGGAGCAACGATTTGCATTTCGGTGGCAAGAAACGCATCCCAAACACCCGAATTACTACTCGAGGTGTCCAGAAGACTGCATCTTGTCAGCGTTTCCGCCTAATATGACTATATCATCTGCGTATTCTAGGTCATCCAGAAATTCTCCTGTGATTAGGCAAGTCCGTGAGTAGTCAGATGATGAGACGGAGACCTCCATAAGAACATCTGTGATAAAATTGAATACGAATGGAGAGAGAGCATCCTTGATGGACACCACTCGACGCATACAGTTCATCCGACATATCGCCATAGGCTCTTACCCGCCCACAGGTGTTCTAGTAGAGAGTCATCAATAAGGTGATGTTCTTACTTGGTACTCCCTTCATTGAGACATTGCTTTCAGATTTCTCTACTGATAGAGTCGAATGCCGCCTTCAGTTCAAGAAATACAGCTAGTGTCCGGAGTTGGTAAGCGTTTCTGTATTTCATGACATGACGGAGTGTGAATATTTGGTCGATACACCCACGGCTAAATCCGAAGCCTGCTTGCTTTTCTTGCGTTTGCTGTTCCTGAGCTCTATTCAGACGATTATGGAACCTATAATCTTAGACATGCTCACCAAGCTAACTCCTCTGTGGATATCACAAGACTTCTCGCCTTTCAGTGATTGAGACCAGTCAAAGGTGATCGTATCTGACCTCCAGATACTAGCTAACACCTCAGTTAACTTGAATAGAAATCCTCTACCACCGTTCTTATGTATCTCAGGAACTAGTCCGTCTGGTCCTACTACCTTTCCTCGTTTCAAGTTACCTACTACTTCCTCGACTTCTGCAAGTGTTGGGCGGGAGGCTATCTCAATGTTCCTTTGAGGATGCAACTGGATAGCGGGTAACCCAATAGTAGCCGGAGGCCAGTTGAACTGTTTTTCCAAGCGTCCCACCTGTCATTTTAGTGCGTAAGCAGAGATTACAAGAAGACAACAGTGAGTTTTACTGTTCCTTTTAGTTCTCACTGTGCCGTTCAGCCAGATAGCGCACAGGCGACTGCCAACTGGGATCTAGTCTATTAGTGAGCTTTCTGCTCCAGTGCTTACTGCTATGTCTACACCTGCAGTACCGTGAGAACTGGTTTTCGAATCTCCAGAAACTCGAAGGGTAAATTTTGCGGATTCACCATAATGGCCGTGAGAGGTTAGGTGAATAATCAAACTTGGGTCCTGTAAGTGTGTCTCACAAACACACCACACACCAATGGTCTGAATTGCTAGAGTCTTCGCCAATGAAGCGTGTTGGACAATTTGACGGAGGGTGCGGACATTGAAGGCTCCAATCTGTAATTTAGAGTGTGATTTAAGGAGACCAGGGATTCTGTTTTGTGGACTCAGATCGATGTCGAAAGCCGCAGAGCTAGAAGAAATTAAAGATGGTGTAAGATTTTAAACAGAGAGGTGAAAGAAGATTAAAAGGTAAGGATCAGAGAGGTTGATAGTTGTCTGAGAGAACTTGATTGCTGACAAAGTTGTGAGGGGGTTGACAATACGGGTGCCCACACTTTGGAAGACTAGGTCTTACTGAATTACCTGAAAAAGAAGGGTTAGTGCATGGTCGCAGAGTCCAGTAGATATCTGTTTGAGTCCAGTCACATGGCCTTTTTGATATCACGAAAATTGGCCTGTATTATAGAAGGTGCGGTCGGACATACGTCCTGTGGCTTTCGGTCACCACTAACCATTGATGACTAATCTAAGCCATCATAATGCAGCATTTTACTGTTTAAAAACATGTTAGGAGTAAGGGTAACTACTTTTTGTCTAACCATTATCCAGCAAACCTTTCTTGTATGGTAGGACCTCTACCAGCACAGCTCGTTAGGTAATCGTGATATACAAGTCCGACCACCATGTCAAGGTAGCAGCTGTCGGTCAGGTTAGTGTAATAGCTGTTGTTAAACTACCATAATATCCACTACCTAAACTGGAAGTATTTCCTTATCTGTCTGTTGTGCTTATAATCTAAGTGAACATAACTGAACTGGTGTCTAATTAACTGTAACATAATTTGCGTGACTAGATCAATTACGTAGTTCATGAATTGACACGAGTGACTCAGTATTATGACCAAATGATAACTAGCCATTAAACCCAACTAAATGAAAATCGAAAAACAACCCTGCTTGCCAACTGAACACATGTGTACATTTAAAAAATCACTGATGAAATGAATTCATTTTTTCGAACTCAAATCCTCCGATCATAGGATTGTTAAACAAGTAGATCAACGTAAAATTTTGCATAATAATCTGTCCTTCTTCGCAGATCCTGTTGATGAGTAGGAATGATGAGCTACCATTTTTCGTTTATTTCATTAGAGCATAAATAAATGAAAATTTAAATCTTACCAGTTTATCGTAAAGCAACGCATGAATTTAATTCACATCTACTCAGTGTTAAAATTTAACTTGCTCTAAACTTATTCAAGAGGCCAAAAACTGAGTCACAGACGAATGGAACTGAAATATCTTACAACCCATCAGCTATCGTAAATCATGCGAAAGATTATGACGCGCAAACAAGTAGGTCCGTAAAAGACTATAAATTAGATCTGAATGAGAGGTTCATCTCATTTTCAGCAACCACACGATTCAGATTAGAAACATCAAAACTAATGATGGATAGTGGCTAGCAGTGGAGGCGCATTTCGTCCTACTTGCAATTTATCACCTAAATGTACCTGTCTTCCAGTGAGCGATGATGTTCCCGCTAAAACTGGAACCCGGGACTGATCACTTTAAACACCAGAGCGTTATCAACTAGGCCACCGAGTCATAATAGCCACTTCTTGTGTAAGGGGTGTAGTTTTTGTGTTGTTACTTGTATTATCCCGTCGTTGATTGGACCGAATTGATCGGTCACTATTAGCACATGGGCCCCCGCACAGATACCTCAATATTGCCTATGTTTCAGTTTTATATTAATGATGGGTAGTCCCAAATAAGATGAAATGCGCCAGCTGTATTTCACTGCTAGCCACTATCCATCAATAATATAAAATTAAAAAACAGGCAATATTGAGGCATCCGTGCAGCAGCTCATATACCAACAGAGGCCGAACAATCTGGTCCAATCAACGACGGGATAATACAAGTAACAATATAATATGAAAACTGTTTAGAATGGGTATTTTACTGATTAAAAAACAGATAGATATTGTATTCTATTCCAAAAATTTCTGTTTTGTTAAGACTAAATTATGTCTAGGATATTTTCCTAATTTTGTGATATCATGCCATATGATAGAAAATTTGACCAAAGTAAACCAGTCAGGTTTTTGATTCTAAAAAAGCACTTTCGATCAAGAGTTTTGATTATGTTTTTTGGCATCTTGACGACTCCTCTTAAGGTGTACAGTTCAGAAGCTGTGTAGTGAAGTCGACAGAGGATCCATTGTTCACTTCCTTTGTCATTTGACTTTTAACTAGGAGGTCACAAATCCAAAATTCCCTTTACTTGACAAGGTTTGAGTAATCAGGTGGTATCCTCAACTCTGATACAATACGTATAGCTCGTCGCCTGCAACATAAACTTGCCAATGATTGTTGAGTAGAACTTAGTTATTTTCATATATGAATGTCACAGTTTAAATATTTCCACCTCTTTTGTAAACTATTTTCTGCATACGTAAGACTGAGATTTCTCATATGAGCGTGGTGTTTAGATTAGTATCTACAGACGAGTTACATCTTCTTAATCAGTTTGTCAAGACTTTCAACTCAATAGACAACCGTGAGAATGGTTCATCATTGGTATCTTTTAATAGTGATACTTGGCAATCTGTCTTAACTAAAAGATACACAATGATTGATCTCTCATTGTATTAGTAATACCATTTTTCTCGATGACCACTTTTAATAGTCATAACTTCATTGTTACGCCTATCTATCTGCGAATGTTTGTTTTGGTTACAGGGAATCGTTTCTGGCATATATATATCCTGTGTAACCAGTTAACTTTTTGAAAAATGTCACCACAAGTTGGATCATGAAGTCAGCTTTCTTTTAATGTCTCTTCAAAAACAAATATAGAATCTTATCTCCTTTGTTTTTTATTTTTAGCTTGAAAAGAAAGTGGAACTGGCAGTTGTTCTACCCAACGGTTATCCTTCATGGAATTCATCTTATCCTGTTAAACCTTTGGTTACACTACGTTTGTTGTCAAACCCATCATATCTTGGAGTGAATGTGCGTGAGTTATCTTCACGCTTCAATCAATGGTTGGATGAAACAGCTAACACTGGTGAACCTGTTTTAGTAGCATCTATAGATTGGCTTCAAAATGAGCTTACAAATGGGTCTCTTGTGACAAATGAAAGTACAAAATCTTTACCAAGAGGTCAAGATTTAACAGGCGCTGAAAGAATAATTTGTTTATGGATTATCAGCCATCATATCAGGAGTTCAATTAAAAGACGTTTAATTTTGGAATGGTCAAAAGAATTAGAATTAAGTGGTTGTTGTATGCCTGGGAGACCAGGTTTAATAATTGTGGAAGGTAAAGAAACTAAGGTTAGTTTCTTTTGATATGCAAAGTTTATTATTTACATGTTTTTTTTTTAAATGGCCTTAGAAACAGCAAAGAAAACAGTTTGTTCAAAGTATTTCACTTGTCATCGTTTTAATTATTAATTAAAGTAAAAAGACGAATGTTCGATGTACTGTTATTAAAAAGAGGTAAAAATTTGTATAGGAAAACACTAATTAAAACTTAGTCCAGTAGTTAATCTATCCGATCAGATTTGTTTTTCAAACAACACATCAGAAAAGAAATGTAATAATCATAGTAAAACGTTGAAGGGAGAATAAGTTGCCAGGAAATTTATAAAGGTATTAAATGTTCAGATATCGGTTCAGTATAGAATGATTGAAAATGTATACATCGTTGTTTGCAGGACCAATTTTTAGCTGCATCACCTAGATTTTAAATCTATTGGTTTCTTCAAACTGGCTGACACTAGTCAATTCGCCTATAATTTCTACAGGTTTGATACATTAGTCTTAACTTTCAACTGCCAGGTCATCAGTCAAAACCTTACTCCGTCTGCCTTAGAATCTAGGTAGTAGCATAAACACAAATGCACTAAGTGTAACCCTATGAAGTTTCTGAGTTGGATTGAGTTGGCAATTCTTACAGTTCAAATCACTTATCAGTGACCTCATAAATCAGTGCCATTTTATGGTCCATTTATCCTGATGATTCTTATATGATTTTGCTACTGAAGTTAATATTGCACCAGCTGGTGGTTGCAATGCTTAATAGATTCCTGAGTATCCTATCGGAATGATGATTCGCAGTTTTGCTAAGTGATTTGTCGCATTTTTGGCCTAACGATAACTTTTCTTACGGACTGGTTTTTGTCAGGATGCACTTCCATGAAACCCCTCGCCGTGCATGTTGTAGGATTTGAATGCTGTCTCAACCCAAGATTTTGTTATGCTTTTTCATATTTATTAAAATTGATGCATCATGTCATTTGACTACTAGCTATTGCCCAGAAGTTTTTTGGGCCATCTGGTGGCTATACTGCCTAAAGTAGTAATTTTAGTAATCTCTATTAGTTTTATTCATCCTTGCTACCTTCGTATAGATCCTTTGATTTGTTTAAGATATCCTATACTGATTCGGTTTCGCCTGTTTAATTGGTTGATGCTGTCTGAGATACAATAGTGAGCTAACACGCAGGAAACCTAGATCTTGGACTTCGTATCAATCACTTCTAACCAATCAACACCATTGATATATAACAGTGTTTCGTTTTGAGGTTGATACAACTGTTCTGTTTTCCGATTTGCTGACAATCATTTATTGAAGAAGTTAATTGGACAATCATAGGCTCAAAACACTTTGATTCACGTAATTACTGAATGAAATCAAATGAAAATAATTTTTATATATAATTGTTGCTGTCATACACATTCGTAGTACTGCAGTTCAAACATTGCTCTGTGTGTGTGTGTCTTATCGTTCAGTAAATTTTAACCTGTAAGGTTCCATTTAACCTCATACTCATAGGAACGTCTAGAAATACAATTTTATTCTTTTATGGAATGAATATGTTAACATTTTACGGTTACAAAAGTATTGGCCCTATGACGACATGAAATTTATGTTAGTTGGAATCACACTTTACGCTTACCTCTTTGTCATCGTTCCAGCAATCTTTTGGTTTACGGAACCTATGAGTCTCCTCTTTTTAGTGTTCCTTGTCATTTGAAATAAAGTAAGGAGACGTTGACTAATTGATATCATCAAATATACAGCAGTAATTTCTGTATACTTTGTTAAATTTATATCATTTTTGAGATTACTTTTCATGATTTTGTTGTAAAAAGTGCCATTGCATCAAAAATGGCATTTTCTTATCCTCTGTGTTAATAATGTCTTTTATTTTAACTGAGGATTAATTTGTTGAATTGTCTTCTTTGGCTTCTTTCTACTAAATTAACTTGTTTAAATTTTCCAAAGAAAAATAAGGTGATAAAGACTAACGGTAGCTGACGAGAATGATTTTGGTAGTGTTTTATCGTCTAGAATTATTTCTTTACGAAATAACAATTCTATATTTTAGAAGTAGTATTCACCATGGACTGACATTAGTTGGGGAACCATTGAAGATCTGAGAGCGCTGGACAGCTGTTTCGTCCTAGTATGGGACTCCTCAGTAGTCAATCGGCCGGAAGTGAAGTGGATGCTAACTGAAGACCTTGGGTGACAGTCGCGCTATGTTGTGAATTAACAGAAGTTGGAAATTGTGAACCACTGGAAACCGACCCCAGTGGCTGAATGGTTAACGCGTTTGCCGAGAAACCTGAAGGTCCTAAGTTCGATCCCTAGCCGGGTCGTAGGTGCGTACTGCTGAGGAGTCCCATACTAGGACGAAACAGCTATCCAGCGCTCCCAGATTTTCAGTGGTCCCCCAACTAATGTCAGTCCATGATGAATACTACTTCTAAATTAAAAATCCCTACTCATCTCAAAAATACATTAATTCTATATTTGTCAAGAAAACCACCTTTTACTTATAATTCAATAACCTATAAGGCTGACAGATATTCTGCTAACAGTCCATGCAGCTTTGAAAGGTTTCATTTCTTGGAAGTGTTGACTTAGTCATGTAAGACTAGGTTTATTATTCGGTCACTAGAAAGTAACTAATATTAGATTAGTATGAGCTACTATTACAAAATTCTTGGTTGAAAATATCATTTACCTGGAGGGTTGTAGACTAAACCTATTTGTTGAAACAAAATACACTTGGATTAATAGTAAATTGGTGCAAATCATAACACATTCGAACGGTTAGGAAAGGGATGTTTTATGATGCAGATAAATATAACTGAAACTCACTGTAAAGTGACACGAAAAATCTAAAATGAGTAGAAAGAGTATAATAGAATGTTTGAAGCAATTTAAGAGTGAATGATCATATTGGAACAGAATACACCAACTCTTGATATGTAGGCGAGATACTTTATCATAACAAGTGCAACCCAGTGAATGCGTACAAGTTCATCCGTTCTTGAACTAATGTTGTTGTTGTGATCATGGCAAATCGAATGGATTTCGAACCCACGATCCGGTTGAAGTTCGACCTTATAAACTCCTTAATCATAATTCTACAACATCACAATGTTATCTTCTGTATTGGTTGCTAACCAACCGATCTGATTAAATATCTGCGGCCAAGCAGAACAAAATAAAACCTCACCAAGAGATGCAGTAGTTCAAACTTCCCCACTTCAGAACACGACAGAAAGAATAAACAAAAAGAGATATCATGTGTTCAAACTAATGAAAAAGGATAAAAAAAAGGAGTGAAAAAATGGATGACTATTGACTAAATGTTCAGAATTTTTATAGAGTAAAGCGTGAATTTATCTTGTCATTGAGATACCTTTTGATTCTTTTCACAACCAATTCTTTTACAACTAATGATTGTTTACACTCTAAGTAGGCTAGTCAGAAAAACTCCACCTCATTGTACGGCTCAGATCAGCAATTAGTGAACTGATTGTTGAATGTCAGGCCAAGGTTTAAACATCTTTAGTTTTCTACCTATTCAGGTAGTTGACATATTGGACATGCCCATGTACTTTACTGCAGTTATTAAAACTAGGCGTCATCTCTAACTGGTGCCGAATCATTACTTAATAATTAATAGACGTATGTATATTAGATTATCCGTCAAAAGGAGTTACAAATATTTGACAATTTGTCAGTTTTTCGATAGGATTATTAGTCAGTGGGTGGTTCATTCCAACTCCCTTTTGAGTCTGCCTCGTTCTCACACAATCAGTGTGCTTCATACCCAATCAACTGAAAGAATATACGTACCATGACTGGTTGTTAGGCTGCGTTATTATTATTCAAGTAGAAATTCGTTAGGTAAATTTTGGTTAATCATTTTTCATTAAGAAATATAAAATAAATGGGGATGCCAAATTTTTTAGGCTGATGAATACTGGCGAAGACTACGTAATTTACAATGGAAACATATACAACTTCGTGAAAGAGAAGTTCTTGGCACAGGACTGTATAAACTTCGTCGATTTCAAGATGGTTTCCATGAATTTAATCTTTCACAGCAAAGTTGGTTTCAATGGCTTCATCAGCATAATATTTCATCAGAAGAATATAAACGCGTTTTTGGAATACCTGGACGATTGCCTCAAGGGGAACAACAACAGGAACAATCGAAATCCTAGCAGTTTTAACAGCCGTAATATATCTATATTTGTGTATATAGAAGTGTGTTAGCTGGAGATTTCACACTATCTGTGTGGTTACTTCACTTTCTTGTACGTTGTAAATTTGATCTTTCTTTCCTACTTGTAGATACAATAAATTCGGAATTGTATTGTTTTGCCTGTGTAAATTATTGTTTTCAGTCGATGTAGGATGCTTAGGAGAACTGAAAATCCAACTAAGCATTAGTTTCACAATCTGTTGAGTTAGCACACTATCTAGCGATCCTTTAGTTCCATCAGCATTTCAAGATACTTGTTTCATACAAACCCTTAAGGATTCCCTTTTTTCCTAAACTACTGAATCTAAACAGAGTAGTTACTCTCTGTACCTTTCAAATTAAGTTAACATGTGAACTGTGAATGCCTTGTCTTAGGTATCCTTCCATTGGATGTAATCACTGTTAATAGATTAAAGTTGCTGAAGGTTACTTAACAATCCAACAGTTATTTGGTTGGTTGTGGCTAGCAGAGCAATCGAAAGCGCGCGCTTCGTCCTATTTGGGACTCGTCAGCTGGATGTACCTACACCGCAGTGAGTGGTGTGGTTTCCACTGAGACTCGAACCCCGTACCCATCGCTTGAAACGCCAGGGCGTTATCCACTATGCCACGGAGAACAATGGGTACTAGTTATTACTATTTATTAATATACCTGTAATTCTCCGTTTTATTGGATCGAATTGTTCGTCCTGGATTCCTCTGCCAACCACAACCAATCAAATTATCATAATTAGCATTCAGGCAATATCGAGGCATCCGCAAAAGGACTGGTTCGGGAATATATTTGAAGAAGTAATGTATTTAATTGGAGTAAATGTAATAGTAATGAATAGGGGAAAAGTTTATCCAACTTATCTGGCTAGTATGGCTGAGCTATGGACTCTGAGTACATGCGTGGTAACCAGCACCAAGGGAGCGCAAAATGGCGTTGAAGCCTGCTAGGATACATGCTCATTAAAATAAAACTTAAAACACCCTAAGCATCCGGAGGCGAGCTAGTGGTTTATTTAGTTAATGTAATCTAATCTATTTATTTTAGCCCTAGTTGTATTTTGATGCCAGGAAGGTGCACTACAAATCGTTTGCAGGATCACTTAACCATGTCTCGATTGTATAGGCATCTTGTTCGCTACTCTTCAAGGTACATGTAGAAAAAACGTGTTGAGTCACAAACAAGAATTAATGATTTTGAAAGTTGTCACGAATAATTTCTCGTTGGAAACAAATATTCTTCAGAAGATGTGAGTACTTCCATGAGATATAAGGAAGATTGGCCTCTTTAAATTCGAAGCTTGACAAGATGATTTAACAACTTATTTCCGTACTGACTACACCCAGTTACTCCCCTCTCAACTTCTCCTACGACATTTATCACAAGTAGTATGTGCATAGCAATAATTCCACTATGTAGAATGTTTGCAAAAAGCATCAGCGTCCTTATTCACTGTATTAAGTAGATATTCATGCTGATGGCTGACTGTCAGTCGTGGTGGTGAAGTGTTTATTTAACTTAAACCTAAAAGTTAAATAAAATTATGAACATTCAGACCATAGTTGTTACGAATATCCCCGAAGAAGTTAAGCATCAAGTCTAATTTTATCATTACAAAAGTATATTTCAATATAATTCTAACGTATTTAGAATATTCTGCAGAAAAAAACTGTGGCTTACACAACGAAACAATCAGAGAAATCTTGTTTTGATTTTCTGTTCACGCTGAGATTGTATTACAGTATACTCTCATAATGATTAAGCGCCGAATGTCCAATAGATGGTTATTATTATTATTATTATTATTATTATTATTATTATTATTATTCCTTTCATTTAGTGGATTAAGCACTGATGAAATCCGTTCACACCCTGCTTAGAACAGGTAGCACTGGCAAATTATGTGATATATATTAATAAAGTAGTATGCAAATACAGCAGTTGCATTACTGAATTTAGATATTATTGACTTTGAAGGTCATCCTAGCAATTTTTGAAACAACCACTCAGTTTTCGGCTGTGTGAAGATAGTTCTTCGTAAAATATAGAAAAGTAACTGGTTATTCCACCAGTTGTTAGGGTGACCATCAAAGAAATAGTACAAGTATCAGTAATACAGAGATTGAAACGTTTTCCGGTTAATGCGATATGGTGAGTAAATAGTCACTCAAATGAGGCGTGAATTTTAAAACCGTTGAATCCTAAGTAAACAATACTGACTGCTGTTAACAATATGCAACTTGGTTACTCATCTGCATAAGACAGTGACGATGACCTCCATGATTAGTGCTCGTTGTTGAAATATATTACTTCACATGTACTTATTCGAATACTTAAATATATAGAGAGATGAACATTAACAAAAAAAATTGCAGAAATGACCCCAGTAACTTTGGAGATCACCCTAACAACAACTGAAATAACCAATTAGGTTTCGCTATATTAGCTGGGAAGTCAAATTTTCATAGAATGAAGAAATATTATTAGTTATTTTAGCTTTAGCTGAGGTGGCTTTTAGAGTCACCCACATTGAGCGAATCAACTCAAAAGTCACACACAAATCACAGGTTAGGTATATTATTGTTTAAAATCGAAATCCTCAGTTCCCGATACGATGTGGATGTTAAGACTTCGAATAAGTTGCAATTAACCATTGTGATATCTTCGCAAATACATCGAGTGAGGTAAATTTTTCAAATCAGCACTGATTTCTTATCATAGTAACAGATTTTTCACTTACTGAAATAAAAGTGGGTTTAAAAGAGTGACTTTACATACCTACCGTAGCAACAACGGGGATAACCAATTAGACTTCTCCATTTTATGAAAATCTGCCTTTCCACCAGAAATGGGGAAACCTAATTGGTCACTTCAACTGTTGTTAGGGTGCCCTTTAAAGTCATCCGTTTAAAATTTATTTCACAATAATTATGCACTTTTCATGTAAGAACGTTTTACTAAACAATTACTAAACTAAGAATATTTAATGAACAATCCCGGAGTATCCACTGTCTACACTGTAAAATACTTTATCTTCCAGTAAGATGCAGCATAGAGCATTAGAAATTTATCAGATCATGAGTATTGTGGGATAGTGGATATGTACCTTTTCCTCTACTTGTTTCAGGTTCCTAAAACGCTTTTCGGCAGCTGATTTACATGTCGATTGTGGAGTGACTTTAAAGGCCACCCTAGCAACTGTCGAAAAGACCAATCAGGCTTCAGTATTTCGCCTGGGAAAGTACTTTTCCATAAAATAAAGGAATGTAGTTGACTATATCAGTTGTTAGGGTGACATTTGAAGTCATCCTCAACTATGTAGTAAATAACTGTTACTAAGACTCCATATATGTGCATCCTACGAGGAGAGCTACAAGAATTGAAAGTAGGCAAATGTTTAAACATATTAGATTTGTTTATTTGATTGATAACCCAGCGATCTAGTATTATTTACTTGATAACGTTTCGAGCGTAAATTATTGCTCATAATCATATCAATGTAATCACACTACTTTTGAAAGTGCTTATTTTCGTCAGTTTCCTGATTGGCAATTTGAATGACTCGAAATCGTTGGTTTTGTAGTCAAATTGACAGTTGATAACTGAATAACCTCATTACTTTTCACTTCGTTAAGATATGATTGATTTCATTTCAACAAAATATAGATTTCTACTAATTCACCGTTTCATAGATCACTATATTATTGCAATTTAGCACTGCATTGCATAACCACTGAATGCTAGTGTAATTTCGACAATTTCTGGAGAACCATGATGATTATTCTTGAGGATCATATCTCAACTAAGCACTTCCTACGAATGCCATATCACGCACTTTTTTAAGTCGGACGCATAGTGACACATGAGACTATGCTGGTGATGAAAAATTATTCAAAAATGTGCAAAGATTGACATAAAAACCTTATAACACCAGCTAACAATAGCTGGATTCCGCCAAATTCAACTATCCCAAAAAGTAGGCAGAAGTCAGATTTAAAATCGCCTGGTTAACTAGTTCACTAGATACTAGCCAGTCCTAAGCCCGCATTAAGAGGGAAGGTTGGGTATAGGGCTAGCAACCCTACACCGGAAAACAAATCTAACCGTTAAACAGACTTCAAAGCACAAACGAAATATGAAAGATAAAAACAAAATTATTCCTCACTGGAATCAGAGAAGCGAAATGACGCCAGTTGGTGAAAGCCATCGGGAAGCCAATTGGCCGATGTATCTTCTCTCTCTCGATGAAAGCGAAAGTAAACTGAGGGACATGAAGTGTCTGTACGATGTTTGAACCCAGCGAGGCTGCCCAGATTGCAAACGAGATGAGAAGGTATAACATCGAAGTGCTTGGGATTTGCGAAAGCAGATAGAATGGGAGTGGACTTTCCAAACTCTCAACTGGAGAATCAATAATCTACTCCGATACTGTCACTCAGACGACAACCACGAGCACACTGAGTTTTCGAGTGGCTATCATGATGTCCTCAAGAGCATCGAAGGCTCTCATGCAGTGGGAACCAATCTCCTCCTGCAGGATCATGACAGCGAGGTTCAACTCAAAAGCAAGGAAGGTCATAATCATACAATGTTATGCACCTACAAATAATGCAGAGCAAGAGAGAAAGGAGGAATTCTACAGACAACTTCAACCAACACTGGACAAAACGTCAGTTGGCGATATCAAAATCCTAATGGGTGACATGAATGCCAAACTGGGAGGGGACAACACAGGAAGAGAACTAACCATGGGTCGAGAGGCGCTAGGTGAAATGAATGAGAATGGAGAATTGTTTGCAGAATTCTGTGCATTCAACGATTTGGTAATTGGAGGCAGTGTGTTCAGGCACAAAGATATCCACAAAGCGAGCGACATGGATTTCACCAGATGGACACACTAAAAATCAAATCAACTTCATCTCAATCTCAAGAAAATGGAGACGCAGTCTACTTAACACAAGGTCAAG